ACCTAAATATTTTATTTTTGGAAAATTTAGGAAACCCTGACTTGTGCCAAAGGCCACGTGTCCGTCATCACCAAAGTTGCCTCAGCTAGGGAACTTGGGTACGAGAGGGTAAGGTCTGAAATGAGCACCCCTACTCGCCCGATCAAAGGATCGGCCTTTACTAATCATGATATGTTGTTTTATAGGCACATGTGTTCTTATTCCAGTTATTAGCTAACTTTACTATGTGACGCACACAAGCAAGTATAGACTAAGTCGCGAGATTTGGAACGAATTCAACTCATGTTTGCTTTCGAAAATGGCTAGAAAGTGCCACCCTCAAGTGGGCTTAAAACATGATGATTTGCCACTTCGCAAAGTGGGCTTAAAAACTCGCATTTATCGAATTGTTCCAATTCAAACAACCAAGCCTTCATCCACAGGCATTCATGTAGTTAATCATTTAAGCACATAATCTCATGGCAAGCTGCTAAACATGACAACACTCACACTCATGCAAGTATGCTAAAGCGTAAAACTTACAATGCCCGAGGCCCCGAAAACTGACTGTTAGAAAAATGATACAAAAATATTTTGCTTAAAAAATATTTTACTTACTTTTTATTTAGTCAAATAACAAACAAATATTTAAATGTTTTACGTTAAAATAAAGGGAACCTAAATTACCAGCTGCTTCCATATCTCTATGTAAGCCCCCATATCTTATCCATATAAGATTGTGATTCACGTTATCATATGTATAGATCTAATTTAATTTATAATTTATTAGAATTCATAAAACTATAATTTATTAGAGATTCAGAAAAACGAATGTTCAAGTTTTCAACCCAACTACCACGGCCTGCGTTGTCAACCACATGGCAAAGGAGTGAATTTATTTAAACAATTTAAAGTAATGATAGGGATCATAAAAATGGTTATGAAAGATTTTTTGTCGTTACATCACATATATAATAAAATATCTCACATTAATCAAAGAACGAAAATTTTTTATAAAATATTTTATGATATTTTTTCGTGATTTCTAATATTATTTTTTTTATTAGTTGAATTAAAAGAGTGTTCCTATAAATAATGTAAAATTAACTAACGGGATATTGAATTAAGAGAGTAGTCCAATAAATAATGTGAAATTAACTAATGAGAGAGTTAGGGGTGTAAATCTGGCCCCCAGCCCATGTTGTGCAGTAGGAAAGATCTATGCCAAACTCACCCTCTTATGTCTCAATTTAACGCTCTTTTTTGAAAATCTTTTTGGTTGACAAATTAAGCTGCTAAGGCTCCCTTTATTTATTATTTATTTTAAATGGTTAAAAAGTCATCAACAAATGAAAGGAAAACATCACAAGAAACAAGCATTGATCATCAACAAATGGTAGGTTATTCATGCAATCAGACATATCAGTGAGCTACCAAAGCAGGTGGGGTATGTGATGTTGTAACAACCCTCATTTTGACTTAGTCATACTTGCATACATTTGTGGATGATCTTGTTTTAATACGTGCATTTGCAAATCTTGTCTTATTTTGCTTGAGTGATTGCTTACACGCTTTGTTCTTGTCTGGTGTGCTGCTGAGGTCATCTTAAGCCTGACACCTTTGAAACCTCTATCACTTAGAACTATCTTGGAACCCCTTTGGTCAACCCCCATCTTCCCCTTGGCATATTAGCCGAGATGTGCATCATCTGGGCCGAGGTGCGCGTAGCCTAGGCCGAGATGTGCATCATCTGGGCCGAGATGTTAATATCTAGGCGTTCAAGATCCTTGATCCTTGCGTGAGTACCACCATTTGAAAAAATAAAAAATATAAGATAAGACCCATTATCACATAAGATGATATCCAAAGAGCAATCATCAACCTAAAAAAGAATAACAGCCAAAATGTAGTGGTTGCTTTCATTGCCTCCTGTCTTGTCTTGGTAATTCCCAGGAAAGAAAATGATATAATGTGACTAAAATGACATACACACGCATAAAATGGATTCTAAGACAGCTTGTTCAACCTAACAATACTTGAGCAACAAACAACTCATTGATTTTTCACTGGAAATTTCAATAAAAATTAAGCTAGTTTATAATTGGTATTTTTAAAAATATTCTTTTCTTCCACACAAAAAAAAAAAAAAGAAGAAGCGAAGTTTAGCTATTAAAAGCAATAAAATAACTTTCAAAAGGTATAACCAAATTCACTGATTCCTTCCATTTAAAGATTCTGTTGAACAGTAAAAAGCAGTCAAGGTCTTGAAAACTTGTGGGATGGATGGCCAGAAAAAAAAAAAAAATTTTGAATAGTAGGGAATGGATAAAAGGCAGAGCATAATAGATGCACCAGCCATCTCAAAGGGCTTCTCATATTCCTGTCGTGGCTGCTCCCAGACCCGCAAGAAGCCTACAACAATGCCATTTCAAAGCATATAGTAAAGTAAAACAAAAACGAATGATAGAGGATATAGCAAAAAAATTGTATCTTTAACTGAGCAAACTCATATTTGTTTGTACAACAACTATCCCAGAGAAGTAGACAAGATGAAGGTACAAAAATTATTAAGTATAATTTGACAAATTGGAAAAGTCAACACCCCTTGGCTACATTACAAATCTGAAAAATCTGGGCAGATTTCACAACGTTTTTGAAAAACGTCATAAAAAAAAACGTCATTGTATCCTCTTTTTCTTGTAGTGTCTTTTATCCTATAAATAGTGGTTGGCACTATCTTAATAAAATGACCAACAAAGTCAGTATGAAGTTGGTAATGATGTATTGATAATGCCTCCATCCATTCCAAACATCAATAAGATCTGCAAAACTCATGCTAGTTTAAGTATTTCAAAACAGACACACCATCATAGGTCTCACTAACAAAATCTAATTTCCAGCTCATGTTAGCCTCTACTTCCATTTCAATTCACCCCTAGCTCTGAGTTCTGCACAAGATAGCACACTTGAGAATATAATTTTATAACAAAGGTTGAGTCATCAGAAGGTTGACACAAAATCTTTTGCTGCATATTCAATTTTAACATATAAATAACTTGTGCCTAAATAAAAAAACTCTTTAGGTATGGCTAATACTTACCGATACACGGGTCGGAAAGTACCAAACCTTGTGATCCTTATTTGGAAACTTTTTCCTTTGTTTATTTGTCAATTTCACAACAATGAGATTTGTAATCTGCAGTGCAAAATATATGAAATTTATGAATAGGCAAAGTAAAGTAACTTGGATAATGGAATGGTAGCAAATAAAATAGGAGAAGGAGAAAAGTCTTACACATGAGGATATCCACTGATATGGTTTCAAGGACCACAATTCCTTCCACGTTGCAGATTGTGCTTCCACGTAGTGCAGTTTCATCCGTACAAGATATTCCCTAGCACATGGATAACTATGTGAGTTAGAAGGTATAGTACTTCATACATAACAAGTTAAAGGTAGTCAAATTGTACCCTTCTGAAAAAGATTCATCAAATGCATATCGTAGAACGAGACTATCATAGTTATTTAATGGGTCTGGCAAAGGCACAGATGACTTGTAAAGGTATTGAGCAGAATAGTGCATAAAACAAATCAAGCTTAGTTAGTGTATGTCCATGAAGATGGAGTTAGCGCAAAATAACCACATATACAAAAGATACTATAATAGTTAGTTCCGAACCTTTGGGATTTCAGGAACAACATTACCCCCAAGTTGATCAAGTAAAGTATCAAATAGCTGATACAAGTAAAAGAAAAGTAAGAAACAAACACTATTTGTTACACATATATCAAATATGTTTTTAGACACAATCATTTAGTTTACTTGATCGAGATTGTCATGAATATTATTGTCAACATTGTTGTCAGTTGACGATGGCTTCAACTGTGGTCTTTTCTTCATTACATCAAATTTCACAAAAGGTGTACGCAACCACTGACTGGCTTTGCAATTCTGGGTCCCTCGAGTCTGAGGACCACGAACAACACTACGTGATGATGACATTGTTACAGCATTCACTTCAACTGCCTTTGTATCGCTCTTTTTTGCGCCGATCGCCCCTTTTGTGGAATAGGAAGTTGTTCATTATTTAATGCTTTCCCACCAACTAATTTGGCTCGTTTCTTTGCAACTGCCTTTGCATTTGGTGGTGTGAGGATTGGTTTTGTTTTTCTCAAATGCAAAGTTTCCATTGGTTTTTTGTCATTCATATTCCTTATCTCATCCTCATCTACAAACTTCGGGGAATTGGCTGCAACCTTTTCGATACCACTATCATCGAGACCAACCATTTCAATGTCAATTCGATGCTCCTCATGTAGTTTGCTTGGTGGTGTTTTAACATGTCCACCATCAAATGGAATGCGTCGTTCTAACAACTCAAGAATTTGACCAACTTGGTTCTCCATTTTGACCAATCGCTGCTCTGCAAGAAGTTTGCTTGGTGGTGTTTTAACTTGTTCTCCATCAACTGGCATGTGTTTTTCTAACAACTCAAGAATTTTTTCAACTTGATTCTCCACTTTGGTTAGACGTTTGTCATCCTCATCTTGCCTTGTGTCCTTGTGGCCTTGGACCAAAAGGGCATGAATTTCAATGACTTGTTTCTCAACTTTAGCCAATCGGGAGTCATCATTCTTGTCAATTCTTCCCTGGCTAAGAGTTACTGCATTGGACTTTTCAACAATGTTAGGCAAAGCCACCTATTCACAGATATACAATAACTTGTTAATGTCACAGGTGTAATGTAAATTGAGCTATAATTATAAAAAGTCATGTGTTGTAAATATTTACCTCAACATTTAAATATCCTCCCAAAGCTTTAATTTGATTCAAACCCTGCTTAATTTCTGAATTGCCCCAATAGGATAAGCGAGGAATGGAGTTGGAAGTAGCCACCAACTCCCTTTTGCGAGCAAATTGTTCCAAGTAAAATAACTACATGGGAAAAAAAAATAAAAAAAAAGAAGTCATTTTAATGTGTGTTAGACAATATGCAATAAAAAATAATAGATGAAATAATTACACATCAAGGGGAGGTACCATTAGAACAAGCAAACAGCCGCACATAGCAGACCGCTCTTTAACCTTGGCAATAGCAATGCGGTCGACAAGAAAATCAAGGGTGTGCTTTGCCCAATTGAATTGACTGATGGACTCAACATTTTTAACCATTTTAATGAATGATTGGTGTACGCCTGCCTTTGTGGTGGGGCACAAGAGGGCTCCAATGATGTATAAGACAAATTTCCTTTTAAATTCAGTTCCAGCATCTTTTGTTTCAAGCAGATAAGATTTCAAAGATGGGAACGGAACAAATTTATTCTTCATCGCAAGTTCATCACATAGGTTTGTAATTTCATCTACGGACTCTGTTAACTTCACAGGTAGACCATTGGAAGGTAATCCCATCAACTCATGAACATCTTCTACGGTGAGAAGCATTCGAAGACCGTGGACATTCAATGAATGAGTTGAAGGATCAAAGTTCTGAACTAACCAATGACACAAGTCATGATCTATGTGCGTGCACCTAAGGCTTAGGATGCCATGAAACCCCATATCACTCACTGCTTGTTGTTGTGCTTTGTCCAACCTTCTAATAATCTTACAAATTGATGTAAGCTCAATCCGGGTTTGAATTTTTACTTTTGGAGGCTTTTGTTGGACCACAGTTTTTAATTGGGCATATTGTTCAGATTGCAGCTTTCCCATTTGTATATACTTATTTTTTTCTTCTTCAGGAAGTTGATTCCATTTGTCCCCAATATCCTACATTACATGCATAAAATCATATGAACAATTACATACAAGCTTACAAGTACAAAAGGAATACTACAAACAACAAGAATACGTTGCACTTACCTTCACGTCTACTTTCATTTGGGTTTTTTTTAACTCCATTGATTGTTCTTGGCTATAAACATATGAAAATGAATATAAGAATTCGTATAATGGAAAATATATAACTACATACAAATAGATATTAACGAAATACCAAAAGAAAATGAATGGAGTGATCGGGCGCTTTAGAGGATCAGTCGGTTTATCCATCAGGCTTCAATCAGAATTCCTTGTAAAAAAAGACAAGAAAAATAAACTCATAATATCTTTGATTAGGAAAAAAAACAAACAAACAAAAATCTTAAAGGTTATAGTACATTCATCAAATGCACGACATGCACACATGAATGGATTTGTTTTATAATAATGTAGTTAACAAAGACTATGTTTCCAATGTAAAAAGGAAAGACACTAAAAAAAATTCTAATCATAAACAAAAAATGATACCCCAGTAGCTTAGGTCACATTACCATAAAAAATAGATTAAAGAAGTTAATTTTTTTGGACAAAATTTGTAATTTGGTAAGGAAATTTTTTTGTCGCAAAAAGGAGCCAAATATTTTGGCACCATACGAATTGATAATAAAAACGACATTGTTTTTTATTTTATTTTTGGGACTATAGTAGAAAAAAATAAAAAACGATGTCATGGTTATCCATAGCTCCTTTGCTCCTTCAAGTCTCACTTTAGGTATACAGTCAGAAGGTTGAATATCTTTATTAACTGGTTTTACTTGCTTTGGTTTTAGCTATGTTGTGGTTCACTTTCCCATATTTTATCTTGCTAATTTTTTTTTTATTCTCTGCATGGGTTTGGGGATGGCTTGAACCACATAAAGCACTTGAAAATTATAAATGTTTAGGGAAGCAATTTGTTTTTTAGAATACAAAATACAAGAAATTAGAAAATGGGAGAATGATTTGATACAGTTGTATTCAGTAATATACATACACTAACTAAAGATTTCATGCACTGAGGACCCTTGCATACTGCTATACCCACTGCCACTCACAATTGAATCTTGGGCTGTGAATAGAGCTTCTTTTGTATTAATGCTATGCTTATTATTTGATTTTATTATTTATATTTATTCTGTCATTGATACTTTAGATTCATAATAAATAATACTAATATATGAGCACTACTACAAAATTGGTTAAAGGTCACAATTTTTAACTTTGACCTTAAACTTTTAATCTTAGTTTTTTTTTTTAATACAAAAA